ACAAAATGGCAGGAGTCAGGTTCTAGGTGTGTGTCTGTGCACAGCTGTGACATGTAGGAGAGCTGTGAGTCAAGCATGACTTAAGAGTGACTCGGTACTGCCCGGCCTCGCTTGGAAGGGCGCCTTCTGACTGCTCCCATCTGATCCGTCCGCATGGGTTTACTAAGAGGCCTGGATTCTTTGGGAATCACTTTAAAGAGAACTATCAGAGGCCTGACAGACCTGAGTGCCTGCTCCTCTGGAAGACTTGGGTTTCTTACATACAAACAGCTGGGTCCCAGGCCCCCAGGACAGAGGGAAGCGGTGAAGAATGATTCTTTGGACACATTCCCTGGACAGCCCCCACCTAGCTTCTGAACGCCATTATCCATGTGTGCTCTACTGTGAAGTCTATCAATCCACTGGCTTTTCTTATTTTACAGTCCTTTAAATCCATAAATGTATATGCTTTATTTTATATTATTTATTATGTACATATGTCTCTGTTAGTATGTCCTCTGTGACTTCGACACTCTTTTAAAGCCTCTCATCCATGGAGCCTAGGGCTCTGTTCTCCCTTACTGGGTGAGGGTGGTGGGACTCTTTTTTTAAAGGAAAAGAAACTGTACTGATGCTGCTTTTCCATCAGCTTCTTCCATTGCCCTGCCCCACCCGTCCTGGTGGCCCGTATTTGGGAGGTAGGTGGAGGCAGACCTTCTCAAGTCGCCACGATTTACTGCAGAAGTGGTTTCCTCCCTGCGTGGTGGTAGCATGTGGCTCCTTCCTCATCACTACCCAAACCAGATCAGTTTCCTGGTCCCAAAATGATAGCCTCCACTTCTCACCCTGGATTGCTGGGCCTGTCTGTGTCATGGAAGCTGCCTGCCTGTCTAGGTCTGACCTCGTCTTTTCCAGGTGTCATGGCCCAGTTACCGACATTGCACCGGGCCTAAAGCGAGCCCTGCTTTGTGTGATTATTTCCCCCCTCCTTAGCTGTACCCACTGTGTCATGGTGTACATTTATTTCGGGCAATTGAGCAGTGGCGTCAATGGAAAACTACACAGGCACAGCTCACATGCACAGGGGTCACAAGCTGTCATGATGGAAGCGTTTATAATTCAACTGTTGTAGATTTACAATACCTATTTATTTTGTACCAATTTATTTGTAAATCTTGTGATTGTTTTTAAAAGGTTTTGTTTATTTCTATTATTCTATTTAGATAAATGATTTTCTGTTCACCCTTCTAGAAGATGTGTGTTCCCTCTTTCCTCTGTGTAACACCAACTGTTTTGTTTTGTTGAGCCTTGGTCCCCAGCCCAACTACATGGCTTTGCTGGTGGGAAAAAGACTGGACTGGGTCCCTGCCTCCAAGTTACAGCCTGGTACAGTGGGTTCTGGAGTGTTCTGCACCCACCAGCTGTTCCCTAGACAAAGGTGTATGGAGCCACTCAGCTCCCCATGGACACTAGCCGCCCGTGACACAGCAGCTGGGCAGATGAAGAGCTCGGTTTTCCTTGGCAGTGGCCTCTCATGGGCTTAGATGGGAATGGCTATGGAGGTCCCCTAGCCAGAGAGGAGTCAACTCATGGGTGAGTCACCTCGGGTCACACGAGGCCACAGGTACGGGAGGCGTATTAGATGTGATTCAGTACTTGAGAATGACCCTCATCTTGTGCTGTCACCCCAGAACTCTTCCTTTGGTCCCTCCCCACCCTGGTAACAAGACCTACAACATCTGGCTGATCCACTACTTAACTGCCCCTTTCCGGAATCCTTTGCTTTTATTTTCTGTGTTTTACACTCCAAACAAGACCCTGCTCTGGGGATCAAGCCTCGTGCCCCCCAAAGTCCCACTGTGTTCAGTCCATATCTTACTGTTGATCATGACTCCATCTGATTTACTTGACGCCTGTCATGTGTGGGAACATTTCAGTGGAGTATTGACAAGACCAACTTTAAAACCGTTCTCTCTGATCATTATATTTCCTGAAAGGGGACGAACGCATCGTATCCCAGTGGAGGGTCTGACTCACCTTCCCTAGACTCAGGGCACGGAGCAGCAGGGAAGGAGGATGGAGCAGCACATCTCCCTCAGCACCTGCTGTGGTTGGAGTTGCATTCGGATGAGTGCTGAGATGGCTAAACTCCCAAAGAGAATGGGGTAGTCGTCCTGTGAGGGACACGTGCCACCCCGGTCACACCCATGCCTGTTTGTTTCTGAGCTCAGTGCTTCAGGGAAACGGATAATAGCAAAAGGAAGACATTGTGGAGAAGGGACAGAATGAACTTCCCCTAGACCAGCACTGACCTCTGCCAACAGTTTGCTTTTTTGCAGAACTGGAGATCAAACCCAGGGCCTTTCAGACGCTGGCATGTGTTCTAGCACTGCGCTACCTTCCCGCTTATTTTTACATTTCTTGAAGGCAATGAAGTCTAAAGAGACGCATTCTTCCTTAAAGCCTGACAGTTACTTTGATTGCTATGAGCTCTTCTGCTGTGACTGCTTCATTTTCCTTCTGAGGGCCCTGAAATTACTCATTTCCAGGTACAAATGTTCAGGAAGTCCCAGGATAAAGGAATGGTTATGTGGCCCTTGTAACTTCAGCATGTGTTTGTCCTGGTGATGACCTGACAATGGACAGGTTTCTGAGAGGGATAAATGCTGCTGTGTGGGTAGTTCTGAGGTACTGAAAACGCAGGAAACACTAGGCAGGTGTCCTGCGACTGAGCCTGTTTCTATGATTGTTAGACCTGGCAGTCACATACGTAAATCACATGCCCGCGGGTGAATGCTCCTGAGTAATGCTCCTGAGAACTTCAACATTCAGTGCTGGGAAGGCTTGCCTGGCAAACTCAGGAACTCGAGGCGTGACTTCATTCCTGGCACCCAGGTCTCATCTACAGACCCTTGGGAAGAGTTTGGTGTGAAACAGCTAGCTCCCTGCTCTTGCTCTAGCAACGAGATGGAGTTTGGGAGCCTTACTTTACCCGTGTGAAGAAACATCAAGTGGCCAGGCTGAAAACTGGAGTTTTAAGTTGGGAAATGCTTAGACATGCACGTCTGCGATGGTGCTCAGAGCTGAGGTAGGTATGATTTTAGGTGTGGCTCTCAGAGGAACTTGGGCTGTGAGCACACTGCATGGGTCACTTCCGTGGGAATGTGTGAGAAATGTGTCACTAGGCAACCTCATGGGACAGCATTGCATGTGCTTTCACAAGCCAGATGCTTCCATCAGCAGGCCACCATGATATACGTGGCCTGTTGGTGACAGACACACTGGTGTGGCATGTGGCTACATTTTCTTTCTTGCAATTACAATATTTTCTCAGACCTTCATCACACTGTTACCGTGTTTTGAGAAATAGGGGCAAGTGATGAGGAAAAAGCTGTGAATTTTGTAAATGAATATTCTTTCTAAAAGATATGCTTTCTGCTATTTCTGGACAGCAGTGGGATGTGAGTTGTTTTCCTGTTCGTGGACTTGTGTGGCAGGCAGCGTGGCTCGCTCGCTCTGCGGTCTCCATGCTCTGCTTGTTGGCTGTTGAGCATGTGTATGGCATCTATACACCTCACTGTGCACACTTTTGTCTCATCTTTGGTAAGGATTTTAGTACCGGGCATCCCCAAATGTATGGTTAGAAATGTTCCCGCTGAGGAATAGCTGTAAGAGAAGCTAATATCCTGCCATGAGAAACTAAGTCCTGAAGCCCTAACTCTGAGGCCACAAGGGGAATGGGGCTGCTAAGGGAGTGGCAAATGACTTTGGCATGTCGTTTTCCCACCATCAGAGAGGTTAAATAGTTTCCATAACATGGAATGTGAACAAAGTTCCTGTCCTAATACAGACTTAAATATGCACTTGTTTATCTCAAGCTATTCGTGGAGAATAAGCAGGGTATTTTAAAATGCCCAAGAAGCCTTGGAAAAATTGCAGGACTTTAAAGTTGTTAAATAAGTCTGATTTAGAAATATCTAAACATGGACAAGCTTTTAAATCTGAGTTGTAACTGCATATAGCTTTTCCAAGTGGCTTTCTAAAAACAATGTGACTTAAGGCTTTGTAGCTCAGTTATTCTATTTAAAACAAAATTTAAAAAGCATCCTGGAGCTTGAAGGGGTGTTGGTGGCTTATTTTATAGCTCTCTGCAGGCCTATGCTTATTGGATCTAAAACAAACATGGAATTTCTCTGCTTCAAATGGTTCCTGAGTTGCTCATGGGGAAATGTGTACCAGGCAGATACTTTAGCTGTGGGTCCCTGCATGATACCTGCATGATAAACATTGGGGTCCCTGGTGCTACACAGCTAGGCTGGAGTTCCGTCTCATGCCAAAGAAGGGATTTGCTGAATTCTCATGTTCTACAAAGCCTGGAAACTAAGGTGTGTTCTCAGACTCCCTAGGAAGGTCTGTCATTTAAGAAAACAATGGAGTCAGGCATGGTGGCTCACGCCTTTAATCCCAGCACTTAGAAGGCAGAGGCAGGCGGATCTCTGTGAGTTCCAGGACAGGCTGGGCTATAGAGAAACCCTATCTCCAAAAACCACAAAAGAAAACGATGGAGAAATTTAACCACTGACAACAGAATTAACCTGACAACACCCTGCTCTTTCCGGGAGCCCGCCATCGTTAGCAGTCCCCTCTCTGATCCTGAGGGAATGTGACTCTCACGGAATTCTCCCCACGTCATCTGGAGCAAATTGTTAGCACTCAAACAGCCTCTGCTCTAATGGGACTAAGGAATGCACTGCTAGCAAGCTGATGGAGTTGTGCCACAGACATAATTAGGGCCCAAGAAGACAACACTGTCAACATCAACCTGAATGAGAAGTTAGCAACTTTCATAGCTATAATAGTCTCTAAATTTTAAAAACAGATCTAATTGTCATGTGTATGTTCCAGAGACACCAGTCAGAATGCATGCTACTTGGGATGATTCTAAAGCTGCAGCTACATGCCTTGGCTAAGTTACTGAGCTGTGTTCTATACCTATCAAATGATTACTAGAAAAGCCAGCCAGGTTAGAGCACGCCTTTAATCCCAGAGCTCAGGAGGCAGAGGCAGGAACATCTCTGTGAATTCAAGGCCAGTCTGTTCTACATTGGGAGTTCCAAGACAGCCAGGGGTACATAGATAAACTTTGTCTTAGAAAAAAATCTTTATACCTATGAAACACTGTTCACAAAAGCAAGTTCTTCAACTAAAAGTGACATAGTTAGCAATTTTGAAAATGTAATTTCCCTTGAGAGCATGCCAACCCTAAAGCCATCTGCAGACCAACGGCTGTGACAGTTGACAGTTGTTCTATACAAGGGTGTCAGCATTAGACATACACTTTACTGAGCTCTAGAGCAGCCAGTACTCCAGTGACCGTAGCCAAGAATGGAAGAAAACAAATGAAAGCTAAAGCTACAATCTACAAAAGTATTCCAAGTGTTGGACGACTCCCTGCCCTGGCCCGGCGGTCACGTGACTGCATATTCACAGGCTGCTGCTTCATTGAGAGCGGGAGTAATTTCCCGCAGTATTCTCCAGTGAACCGATACTAAGATACTAACGGTGCCTTTTGCTGTAGAGCCCCTCCCACACATGTGCCTAGGAGCAGGATGCCCCTGCGGTCTGCGCTGATGAAGGCAGCTCTGGTAGCAGCTGCTGTTCTCTGGGAACTTGCACCGCTGTATCTTCAGCTACATTCCCCAAAAGGATTGTTTTTATATAACCAAAACACATTTGTGCTACCAATTTTTTAAAATCAAGGATGAGGACTTCTGCCTCAAATTCAAACCCCTGCGGTCTCCCTAAAATCACCCTGCAGCAGGGAAACCCAAGAAGGCATCAACACAGTAGCAGCCTTGCCAGGGCCACCAGGGAAACCCAGAAGCCGGACTACACTGGATCATGAAGACAGTGTATTTCTCCACTGATGTACAATACTGTATAATGCACTGGAAAAGGGGTGTGGAACAATAGCACAGTTTGTAGTAATACGATATTGTGGCTCACCTCTTCCCACCAGGCTTCAGCTCTGCTCTGAAAGCCTTTCCTACCTCAGTGTATGCAGATGGCACACTGATGACCGGTGCCGTCTGCATGCAGACCCACCTGACTTTTTACCTTCCTTCCTACAGTTTAACAATCTGCAGAGAATACAGATACACAAAACTCAAGTGAGTAGCTATGATTAGAATTATTTAAAGCCTTAAGAAACTTTCCAAATGTACTTCTGATGAGGTCCTCCCACCCTCCCTAACAGAATCTAAAGGCCACCCCTTGCCCGTGAGTCCTGCCAGACTTGCTGATAGGTGCTCAGGGTTTTAGTTTGCCTCCTTATTCTTCCTCTTCCTCCTCTTCATCATCATCTTCGTCATGGCAGTGTGTGATCTCCTGGGGAGCCAGTGGGAAGAGGTTGGGGGGCTTAATCTCACTAATGGACCTTGTAAGCTGATGACGTTTGTAGTCGGTGTCTTTGAAATCCACGGATGTGCGGTTCCGGGTGGCGAGAGGGGATTCCATCTCGTTGATATCCACATGCGTGTGCTCCACTGTTGATTCATGAGGCATCTAGAACAAAGCAAAGGCTCAGGCTGCAGGCAGAATAAAACCCTAACTTGCCTCATCTACAGTGTTTGAGTTAAATCTGGAAGCAGGACAGAAGCACCCAAGCCGCCCGGATCATTTCCCACAGACAAAAATAAGTAAAAGAGAAAAACCTGACTTTCTATTTTTAGACTCCCTTAGCCAGTCCTGAAACAGAACAGTACTGGGGCACACATATAAGAACATTAACTTCAATTCGCACTAACGAAGGAGTCCTTACTCAGATCACTTGCTTCAACCTGCCAGGTCCTGGGACTAACGGTGTGCACCACCGCACCTGGCTTTTTGTTTTTCTTTTAAACACAGGGGCTCATGTGGTTGAAACTGGCCTTGAACTCCCAATCCTGCCCATGCTCCCCCCAAAACTGAGATTCTAGGTGTAAGCCACCACACCTACTCAAAGGAAGAGTTTCTATGTAACCACATAAGACATTCAGCTTTCCCACAGACTATCTCCCGCGTCATTCCACAAAGCTGGCTGCACATGTGACCCAAGAGTACACCTTCCCTGTCAAACAGCTTTACTCACCAGGACATGGGCGGCTCTGAAGAGGTAGCTGAACGGGTAGTACAGCAGGTTGATGAACGATGCCGCGTAGAGGTCAGCATACCGCATCACTTGACTGGCAAAGAGTGTCTGCCGGGAGCCACTACGGAAAAGGCTTCCCATCATCCCGTAGCACATGTCCATGTCGTGAGTTACTTTCTTAAATAAATAAAAATCCTCAGCTTATTCAACTATTTGCTGATGACCAGTGACATACAAGTCCCTACATAAAATCACAAGCATGTAAATGATTTAGACAACTGATTTTCCACATTTCATCCCAAATCCCATCTGCATACCTTAATGCGTCTCTGGATGGAACTAATGTCTGGGCGCTCATTGCTACTGCTGTCAAGGTGCCTGGAGACAGAAGGAGAGCACAGAGCAAATCTCTAAATGAACACACTGTATTCCTATGTTGTTCTTGAAGAGGTTAGTGGGTTTTAGAACTGGGAAACTTACTTGTAGAGTTCAGCCAAGAAAATATCCAAGCTCTGAAGTTCTTCGAAAAGTGCTAGTTAAAAGTTTAGAAAGGAAAAGAAAATGTTTTAGGTAAATCAAGCAAAATCGCCTGGCTTTTAAGTGCTGCTCAAACTAGTGAGTTTCAGATATGACAAAAAGCACAGTGTGGGCTAACATGGCAAAGTTATGTATGTATATGTGTGTGTGTGTGTATATATGTACGTACACAGACCACTTGCACCTCCCTCAGGGAAGCTCACTGACACCCACGTGTACTCTGCCAATGGAAGGCCACCACAGTTTCCTTTTGAACAGTCTCCTCCTACCTAAAGGCCACTGACCCCTTTGCAGCCTTATGGGCTTCCAGAGCAACTATAGATAGTTTATGTTTGAAGTTTGTGTGTGGGCGCCAGTCGTCACCATGCGGATTCTGGGGACTAAGCTCTGGTGAAGCTCACCAGCAAGCACCTTTACCAATTTACACATCTAGCTGGCCCCATTTCTAGGAAAAAGGACTAGGAATTAGGTGACTTGTCCCGAGTTGAAGGTTAACTAGATTTCACAGGTGGGAAGCTTAAAATGTGATGGCAACAGTCCACATCACCTGCATGCCTCCTGAGTTCCCCAGGAGAACCACGCCCTAATTTACTGCATAGAACAGGTTTTCTTCTACCATCAGTCATTCAAATTAGGTCCTGTCACCGAGAAGGAAAGCTTTATGTGTACTGCCTTGCCTGAGACCCACCAGCTTGCAGACAGGCATTATTGGTATTCCATTTTCATGGGGAAACAAGACTCAAGGAGCATGCAGATTTTGAGCAAAGGAGCTAGAATCCCATCAACATAAGCCACAGTGATGGTGATACACTGGAACACAGGGAGGTCCTGCGTATCCAACATCTTTCTGCAGCTACCTGTGACCCAACTGAAGAGTATGTGTACTGCCCAATGCACGCTGTGTGGCTCAGCTTAAGGATATTTGGCTTCTGTCTTCACGAATACAGGTAATTAGCATTCAGAGCCATTGCTGCCCCAGAATCATAAACAGTGTTAGAGAGACTGAGACTATTGGATGTGGCTGGAGAAACATGGACTGCAGACCAAAGTGGAATTTCAGTTCACAAACTCTTACTGTAGTATGTATGTATGTATGTATAAACAAATTCTTGAGTTGTGTATCTAATCTAGGAGAACTAAGTCAAAGCTGTCGTGTAAGATACAAAACTAGTTGTGGCAAAGATTTGAAAGTAAGGGTGATGGTCTCTTACAACTCTTGTCGGTCCAGACGTGGAGCTCTTGTGCAAGCTCAGGAATCACCAAGAAAGTCCTCCACCCCTGCCGTTTCTTTGACTTCAAAATGTCTCCAAAAATGTGATCTCCGATGTACAAAATGTCTTTGCCCTTGGCTCCCAACAGATCACAGATTGTATCAGATGAGCCTGAAGAAATGAATGAGAAGAATGTTTCTAGATTAAAGAAAGCATTCAGAGCCCACACCTAAATACTCCAGAAATGTATAATTATAGGAAAGAGAAGCCTTTCTTAAATACAAAGGTTCACTATTCTTTGTGCAGTCCCAGTCAAGGCTTTACTACTGTGCTGACCAGAGCGCTAAGCAAGAAGTCTATTCAGGCAATGACAGTGCACACTTTTAAACTCAGCACTTGGGAGGCAGACGCAGGTGGATCTCTGTGAGTTTGAGGACAGCCTGGTCTACAGAGCGATGGTTGTTACACAGAGAAACCCTGTCTTGAAAAAACAACAAAATCTAGGAAGAAGACCACCAGGATACCACGGCTGGGTTGGAGACAGAGTGCAGAGATGTAAATGGTGTGTCATGTAAGAGGCCTATGTCAGCCCATCACAGACTGCTCACTGAGTTGGCGTCATTCAACTGCTTCTGACTCTTGACATCACACGGGCTTTTTGAAAGTCCTTTGAGAAGAAATACACCCAAATGGTTCCAGAACACGAAGATAAGCCCTCAGAGGAGGATAGAAAGATCTTTTCAGTGACAATAAAACTTAACCCCTTGACTTCCATTAGCAGAAGACTGCTGACTCACAATAGATGACCTTTCTGGTCCTGAAGAATTATGTGGCACTATGCTGAAAGACCATGGAACTTTCCACAGTGAAGTCTGAAGCAACACTCACATTTGTGCAGATGTGTCCAGAACAAAGGGAAATGGACAGCTCACCTCCTGAGTAGACGATGCCGTGCTGCAGGGGGCCTGTGTAGGTACCAATTTTCAGTTTTCCAGTTTTCTGGGTAAAGAGAACAAAGACTGTGAAAAGGTCTGTCATTTTATCACAATATCTACCTACATTTGCTACTTGACCCGGGCACTCACTCTCTAACTAGCACTCTGTTGGGCTACTTCAGTTAAAATCAAAACACCCAACTTTAAGAAACTATGGCCATTAGAAAGGAGAGGGAAGTGGGGAAGGAAGAAGTAAGGGATGGTGTATTAGAACATGTCACCTTCTCGACTTACAGTATCCACCTGACGTAGTACTGTGCCTTCTCCAAAAAAGAGCGGTTTCCGTGCATCCACTAAAATCAGATCAAAGTAAGACTGCCACGGTCGATGGGAGCTTCCCGGCTGGTGGAACAGAGTAGGCAAAAGCTACAACATCACCGCACATTTAATACTTAAACCCACTCATGCACAGGAATCTTTAAATAATTTTTTTGGAACTGACAGGTATAAACAAGTTTAACTTACTCTCTGAAGGACAGTTCTTTCAAACATGAAATATGAGAAAACTAGGCAGATGCCAACTACAATTCAGCACCAGAACTAAACACAGAAAGTGGCACTGAGGAGACTCCCACTTGTTTTTAGGGCGATGGCTCTAGATACACACTGGCTTCAGCTGGTTGCACAAGAAGATATTATGCCAACTAACACACTGCATTCTGAGATGGTGTTAACCTTTTCAAGCCAGAATAAAGAGCACCATACACTGTAATTTCAGCATTTACTAAAGCTTATTTGTTAACCCTGAGCATAATCACACTGCAGAAAGACTTCTCAATACCAAGGTTAACTGCTTTCTTAGCATAACACCCATCAGCAACTAATCTAGAAGCAGTTACAACATTCACACTGAAATTCTATTTCTTTTAAACTGGTATCACCCTCAATCCCATGCAATACAAACAATTCTGCTTAAGAACCTATTCTGATCCTATTTACTCCAGACCATATAAATGTTCATTTTACTTCTATATAGTAAATATTTAGAACACCAGAGATTTTAAATTCTGCTAGCCCTAGATTACTTCTTTTAATGCTGATTTAAACAATAAGCTTTCTAAAACTAGGGCTTTTCTAGGTGGATCCTGGCCATTTCCTTCCCTTTAATATTCTAAAATGATTAAATACATTAATATTCTAAAATGATTAAATACATTATTAGTTAACAAATGGCCTATTAAATTACTATAATACCTTGGGTCCATGTGGGAAATCAAACAGGTAAGTCATGATTTTCTGGGGGGAAAAAGAAAGGTCCATGTATGATTTTTGCACAAGACATACGCAAGCTTTTCACCACATTGCTTTTTTGTATAGCTTATGACATCGTGGCAGGGGGAGTTAAACTAATGCTTCATTGGGCAAAAGGTGGGCAGACAGCTACTCAGGAAGGGTGTGGGCTTCCGAGTGCTTATTGATGTACAGTCACTCATGCCCCTAGCCAGTTCTCCTGGAAAACGTGTGTGGAGGTGAGGGACCTGAAGAAAGGGCTCAGAGAAAACCAAAGACTCACATGAGATACCACACTGCCATTTCGTTAGCAGAGAGCTGGGTGGGGCAGAACTTCTTGCTAGAACTGTAAATCTATAATTGCATCAGCAAAAGCAAGACATTTAAATTTGGTCCATGCAGTTTTGTTTTTGTTTTTTGTATCCTTTAGTCATGATCTTTTGAAATTTAAAAATAAGAGATGGAAAATTTCGTTCTCTATCTCTTAAGATTCAAAACACATCACCTTTCACTATAGGACTTCCAATAGCAAGGGTATTAAGGAAAGGGTGTGATTTCTCAGATCTAGATAAATAATGCTCCAAACAGGCAGAGAAACCATTCTATCAGCATAAATAGCTCCCCATATGAAAACCTTTAAATAACCACTATAATAGAAAAAAAAAAAAAGTACTTTCCTGTGTAAGGAAATTAACACGTTAAATACTTACATCCGTGTATTTGTAGTCACTGTTAGTGGCAAGAAACACTTTCCCTACTTCCTTCATCCGGCTCAGAAGCAATGGCAATTTCCCCTGAAACGGTGACAAAATACTTCAGTGTTGTGTTTACAGTTCAGTCAGACTGGGATTCTGCCCACATATGAGTAGGGTAATAAGTCTCTCAAGGGCTGGTTGGTTTCAGAAGTCTGCATGTAAAAGGCCACATTATTAGGCTTTTAAAGTAGTAACATATAGTATATACTTTAGTAACTTACTAATAATAGGTCTTTACCACCCTCATGTCTGCTTCAGGAAATAGGTTAAAGTACTGAGTGATCCCTCAAGTATGGGATTTAAGTGCACTAAAGATCAGAAGTTGACTGAGATAGGGCTCCACCATACACACTGGGGCTTCTCTGTGTAACAGCCCTGCTGTCCTGGAACTCACTCTGTACACCAGGCTGGCCTCAAACTCAGAGATCCACCTGCCTCTGCCTCTCGAGTGCCGGGGTTAAAGACGAATGCCACCACTGTCCAGCTACACACCGCGGCCTTATGAAGACCTTTGCAGAATAAAGTGACAGATGCAGGTGCTACCTAGAAACATCTGCCCACAAGTGAAGAGATGAGCCAAGTGCAATGCCTAGCGTACCTAGCAAGAACGCATGTCCCTTCCCCTTTCACAGACTGTTCAACTGCTCAGTGCTCCTTCAAGTCAACAGGAGGAAACAGGACGACACAAATTCTGCTTTTACTCTATAGAAAAGTAAGTTACTGGAGGATCTTGGGTCTCTGTACGTGTATAAATGGATTTGTTTGTTTATTAGTTTGGGTTTTTTTGGAACAGGGTTTCTCTGTGTTGCTTTGGAGCCTGTCCTGGAACTCTGTAGACCAGGCTATCATCAAACTCAGAGATCCACCTGCCTCTGCCTCCTGAGTGCTGGGATTAAAGGTGTGTGTCACAACTGCCTGGCTTTTAATTATGTATCAGTGTGTAGAATGTACACGAGTGCAGATGCCTGTAGAGGCCAGAGACATCAGGCCTACCAAGAAGCTAGAGTTACAGGCAGTTGATGAGTGCTAGGACTTGGGTCTTCATGTATGTATGTATGTATGTATGTATGTATGTATGTATGTATGTATATAATTTTTTCTACCCTAGCTCTCTCTCTCCCTCCCATCTTACCCCACCCACCTGTTCCACTCCACAAGGAGGGTGAAGCCTTCCAGGAGGGAATCATCAAAATCTGTCAAGTCATTTGGAGCAGGGTCTAGGCCCTCCCTCCTGCCTCTAGGCTAAGGGAGTATCCCTCCATGGGGAATGTGCTCCCAGAGTCCTTTCCTGCACCAGGGATACATCCTGGTTCCACTGTCAGAGGTCCCTTAGACTGTCCAGGCCTTCTGAGACCCATGTTCAGGGGGTCTGGGTCGGTGCCATGCTGGTTTCCCAGCTGTCAGTCTGGGGTTTGTGAGCTCCCCCTTGTTCAGGTGACTTGGGTCTTCTTAAAGAACAGCAACTGCTCTTAACCACTGAGCTAACTCTCCAGCTCATGGGAAAATAAAAAAACAGTGCTGGGGCTCACACCTAGGACCTTTCGCAAATGCTCTACCATTGAGCTACACAACTAGCCCACTACTGTTTTAAACAATTTTAGCTTCACAGAAAAGTTGTGATTATACACACACACACACACAAACACACACTTGCCATGCATTCCTCATACATTCCTTTAATAGTAACAGCACTGAAGCATAATTATGAAAATTTTAAAATAACGTTTGTGCAATGCTATGAACTAGAGCTATTTTAAAAGTATCTACTATGTGTCTTAAACCTGTGCTCATTGTTCTTTGCTAACAGGGTGAAGACACTTTAGGTGACAAGGCTATCCATGCACATTTTTAGCGCATCAATCACAGTGCTTAAGATTTGAGTGAGTCTTGGCTAACTATTCACTAACTGTGTGGCCTTCCGCATGATGTTTAACCCTTTCTTTATTCATTAGGTGCCTGCTGAATCTATAAATAATGGCGAGAGTATAAGGCCGCAATCACAGCATGGTGACAATGCACACATTAACCCCCAGTTGCTGTCATTAGAGGCAAACAGGGACAACTAGAAAGACGACACATGGGAAGAAAATCTTTGTAATTATGCTATCCCATCACTCACTCAACTGCCATGCAGATTCATTCCCCTCTCAGTACTTACATCTTTGACTACATACTTCTCAAGATTTTCAACTGTCTTTTCCTTAAGGGAGCCCTAGAAGAAGAAAAAAGAAAACAGAACTAAAAAAAGAAGTTTTATTTATGTTAAAAAAAAAATAATAAGTTCTTGCTCTGTAGCCCAGACTAGCCTTGGACTCATGACCCTCCTGCCTCAGCCTCCCAAGTGCCAACATTACAGAACCAGGATACTATGCCCACCTCACAAATTGAGGTTGCTTGTCTGAGACAAAGCCTCACTTTGTAACCCAACTTGGCCTTGAACTTGTGCAGTGTCTGGGATTGTGGATGTGCCACCACACCTGACCTATAAATCTGTTTTTAACTTTTACTAGAAAATTTGTACTTACTATCAAACAAATGAATCTGTTTACCAAAATAAAATGTAGATAAAGGGCAAAAAACCTTTAAATATAAAATTATATTTAAATTAAATTAAAAACATTTCATATTTTATTGAACAGTTTATAGTAAATATAAATTGAGTACTAACTAACTGATGTTATTAGCCAGGTGGGAGTTATTTGGATAAAATTTAAATTGGATAAAATTTAGTCATTCACTAAAATCCTTCTAAATAAGTTTCAGAAATGCAGACAATAAAATTTAAAAACTGAGCCTCAGGACTGAGGCAGACTGTCAGCATAGTCAGGCAAGAATGGATGGAGGAGGCAAATCTCCGCCCAGTAGTGGTGTCCCATGCCTTTAATCCCAGCACTCGGGATCTACATGAGTTCCAGGCCAGCCTGGTCAACAGAGCAAGTACCAGTACAGGCTCCAAAGGTACAGAGAAACCCTGTCTCAAAATACCAAAAACCAAAACAAACATAGAAAGATTAATTTTATTCTGTTAATGTGCATGCCTGTGCACATGAGTGCTGGGTGCCCAGAGAGGTCAGGAGAGGGTGTCAGATCCCTGGCACTGAACTCGTTACAGATGGTGGTGAGCTGCCATGTGGTGCTGGGAACTGAACTGGCATCCTCTGCAAGAACAGCGAGTGCTCCTCCTTTCTGAACCATCTCTCCACTTTCTTTTTAAAAAGTGCTCCATTTCCACTTGCAAAGTTAGTGTCAGACCGTAAATTTGTGCCAGAGAAACGGCAGGCAAGAAAACAGCTTCTAAATACCTTGTAATGGACCCAGTCGACTGCGTCCCTTACATCCTGAAACATGCTCCGGTACGACATGAAGAGGTCCCCATCTTTAAATCCTGTGTCACAACTACAGAAAAATGAAAGAACATGACAGGGAATCCAAAGCGAGTAAATACAGTGAGCGTCCAAACCGACCAAGGGACCCAACCAAAGGCTCCACATCACATGGTACAGGATGTGGTTAGCTAGGAACTGCTCCCTCACCAAAATTCATTTGAGTATTAGAAATGGCCAGAGTATTGTATAAATGGAGTATAGTAACTGTGAGTGAATACACTGGATGGAATGTGAAAGGCCAAGATCCCAAAATACCAGGTTTGTCACTTAGAACAGGTTCTCACTGAACAAACATTTAGAACATAGGTTCTTCCACCCCCAACCTTCCTGGCATTGTCCCTGGGTACAAAAGTGCTGTTCATTCTCATCTGTGACTCAGTTTCCCACCAAGTTTAGTGCCCTAAGTGGGTAAGGTCTCAGATAGGAAGTTAGCAGACTCCCACAAGTTCTTACACGTCAAGCAATGGCCACACAACTCCCCCAAAGGGAAAAAGCTAACCTATGCAAGACTTAAGTGAAACTTTGCTTCAGGAAAAGTAAACAATATCTATTCCTCGATGAAATCTTGCTGGGCCTGGGAATGAGACTAAATGACCATCCCTGAATGGCTCCTGGGTAGCTGCTGTGAAATGAGTTGGGGGGTTTTAGTGTAATTCTGCTTGGACAGATAATCATCACACAAACCTCCCACTCAGTTGTCACAATTAGCACCTCTGCTGGCGTCTTCATTCCCAGGAGAAGCCAATCAGAAGTGGTCCCTTCCAAACATGGCTGCAGCACACTGGCAAGGAGAGGGGCCGTGTGGGAGATGAGAGCCTGCATGGAGCTGCTGGTGCTGTCCATCTCTCAGGCTGGCAATGTAGCATCTCTCACTAGCACTAAATTCACTTTAGAAAAGCAGAAAAGACCTACAATGGCCAGTTCTCTAAAACCCTGTTCATTAATTTAAAAATCAACTGGATAAAGAAAATTGTAGTATAAACATACCTGGTATATCTTGGACAATTAGTAAAAAAATCTACTAGGCAGGCCAACAGGTAGGTCTCTGAAAAATGAAGTACAGATATTAATCAGCTGTAAGTAAAATGGTTAAGCAGATTTAATTAGCTCCTTTGAGTAACAAGTGGTCCTGGGAGGAAGGGACAGCATGTATATATAGTAAGCAGAGAGTAGTCTACCTGGAAGATTGAATAGTGTGTTCAAAATGTAAAACCGTTCAGTGTCATCTCGTTGGATAAATTTATTTGGATACTGCTCTCTAGTTTCTGGTCTGCAAGAGAAATTTAAGAATTAATTGACATACAAAAAGTTAACATGTTAACTCTAGGAAATAGTCATTATTCAAAATGTTACTAAAACATTTTGATGGCTATGTCCAAGAGTGTTCAGATACCAAGTCTGGACAGCTATGAACAGGCTCAGGTGAGCCCTCACAGAACTCTTCATAGACAACACTCAGGCTGTCACTGTGCTAGAAGAGGTCTATCAAGATCATACAACCTGATTAAAGGGAAACTATTCAGCTTAAAAGGCTTAAGGTAAACAGGTCTTAAACAGGCAGCTCACCCCTGTACTCCCAGCCTGGTCAACAGTGAGCTCCCGGCCATCCAGCCCAACAGTGAAGCTGTCTCAGGATGAATAAATTAAAGCAGAAGGGAATGAACGTAGAGAGGACTCACGTAGGTGGTACATTGGCCTCTGCTCCAACACTTAGTGAACATGTGTGCTCCCGAATGGAGTTCGGGAATAAAAAGCATGTCTTCCTTAACCCATCTGAGCTGTATTTTCCTCTGTTCCTCTATTGAAAGCAGACCAACTTCTGAATTGACCTATTTAACTTACAAGGTCCAGTTCATATCAGTAAAGTGCATGTCACTCAAACTCGAGGAAATTGTGTGAAGAACCCAATACCCACATAAATGCCAAGCATCATAGCACAAGCGATGGTGACAGAAGGGAGAGGGCTCCAAGGACACTCCACCTCGCAAAATATGATGGAGTGACAGAAAGACACCATCAACCACTGGCCTGCACAAAGACACACACATATCCCACCAAGAAAGGGGAAAACATTAATTAAAAAATCCAAGGGTGAGAATTCTAAAATACATACAATGCTCATGGTAAAAAAAAAAAAAAAAAAAAAACACAAATACAAAGAAAACCAAATTTAAAGCTTATACTTACATATGAGTTGGGTAAATTCCTATTTAGTTATTTAACTTCAACTGGTATGAACTCCAGTTGGTTTAGTCACCTTGTTTATCATCCTTATAAAACAAAAGTTCCAATACATAGAGACTCACTACAAAGTCACCTCCTTGGCCCTCATGAAGAAGCAAGCAGTGCTAACAGGCCCTTACTCCAGTCTTTATACAAACATAGGTGACTACTTTTCAGCAATCACAACTCAAATCCACTGAGAAATATGGTTAGTCGGTAATCTCCAGTGGGGGAAGACAATGCATCAGGCATAAAGGGACAGTCTATGTGCAGTTACAATACTGAACACTGGTAACTTTTCGTGACCCACTCTCCAGGCTAACAAGGAATGACAACGCTAGTCAGACAGATCTCTCCTCCAGCCTCATAACCACTGCACTGTAACACCATTTTCCTCCACGTTGGTTTTCCCTGAGACCTTTTCCTTTAGATTCTAAGGACTGCATTATGTTAAGCTTGAATGAATCGGCAAGTACTCACAAATGACATTTCAGAAATACTATCAAGAGTGTTTCCAAAGGACCTACTCTGAAGCTTTGTTGGGGGGAACATAGCAGGTTGATGGATTTCATTATCTGTTTGAGATAACATTTCATGTAGCCCAGACTGGCATATGTAACCAAGGATGCTTGAACTCCTCATCCTCCTGAGAGTAGCACAGACAGGGACCGCTACCCCAGCTTAGGACTGGACATCTTCAATTAGTGAGTTTGGTTGTAAAACAAATTTACTGAACGGCTTCTTTTTTTCTCTCTCTTTCTCTCTACCTTCTTTTCAACTAACAACCAAGCAATATAATCCCCCTTCAGACATAAATCACATCCTGGATAACAGTGAGAGTATCTGTTCATGAATGAGCTTAGGTTGGTGACCCTACATGTAATCATTTTCCTTCTGAACCCTGCTTCTTCCTACAAAACCACCCTTTAGAGCAACAGAAGGTGCACATAGCCTCTGCCTGCTGAGAGGCGGCTCTCGCTGCGAGGTCTGTGAAGCTGTTATGTAATAGAGCCTGCTTGCTGCACAGCACTGTGCCATGGGCTTCAACCTAAGTGGGACACAGCTCTGGCTTCTGATTTACAGGGTGTTCGGACACAATTTCAGTTAGTTTAATTATCCCAACATAACTGTGACAACTACCACTTTTCTATCAATAAATCATTCAGAAAAATTACATGAAATCATGTTTTCATTTCAAGTTGTAGCTATAACTCAAACAGTGTCAAATTATACGTGTGTGTGAGATGTGCATGCTGAGTGCCTGTGGAAGCCTGACAGGGTATCGGATCCCCTGGGTCCTGGAAACTGAACTCAGGTCCTTTGTAAGAACAAGTGCTCTTAGTCACTGGACCATCTCTCCAGTCCCCAAACTGTGTATTTTGTTTTAATTTTTTTGAGACAGGGTCTCTATTATGTAGCCCTGGCTATCCTGGAACTGAGGCTGGCCTCAAAATCACAAAGATCCATCTGCCTCTGCCTCCTGAGTGCTAGGATTAAAGGTGTGCACCACCACTGCCTGGCAACTGTGGACTTTTGTTATTGTTTTGTCTTAAATTAAAATTAAAATTTTAAAAAAATGCGATGTTACACACACACACACACACACACACACACACACATTACATTTACTTCTTACTAGGGAAGAAACTCCAAATTAGTAAAGTGGAAATGTTGTAACAATGTGTTATTTGGTTTAAAGCCATTACCCTTACTCTACCCACTTTCCCTTTCTTCCTTTTGTGGATCAAACCCAGACTTCCTTACACTCTGAGAAACTGCCCCATCTTTTTTTTTTAAGTATTTACTTACACTCCTGGCTGTCCTAGAATTCACTTTGTCTGCCTGTCTCTGTCTCACAGTGCTAACATTTAAAGCATACCCCACCATACCCAGCTTTTCTCCCCAATTCCTGGGATGGGTCTTGTTATATTGCCCAGGCACTGATAGAACAATTCAGGACTCCTCCTATCCCAGATTTCAGACTAGTTGGCACCAAGAGCAGGTGTTCTTGTGCCCTTTACTACCTTGTATTTGAGGTTCCTTATATTTTTATATTTTCATTATACAAATGTCTGAAGATATTCAAAGATTAAAATGTACTAGCTAATAAAAATCTCAGTTATTAAATTGTTATATAGTTCAAAAATTTTCAAGTGACTTTTATATGCTTATCTTAGAACTTGAACTGGAGAGATGGATCACTGGTTAAGAGCACTGGCTGTTCTTCCAAAGAACCAGGGTTCAAGTTGCAGCAACCACATCATAGCTCACAACTGTCTCTAACTCCAGTTCCAGGGGACCTGACACACTCATGCAGGGGAACACCAATGCACATTAAAAAACAAAACAAAACAAAAAACTTAGAACTTAAAATAAGTCAAAACTGTGCTATACAGTTAGAAGATACTGAAACTAATTACCTAAGTAGGGGTGACTCTTAATGACAGAAGAGGGAAGTGTATTTCACCTGTAAAGACAGTGTCACACCACTTAACTACTAAAATACCAGAGAATTAGGCTAAGGAGACAGCATGGTTGGCAAAGTACTTGCCATTAAGTGTAAGTCAGGCACACACCTGAATCCCAGCTCTGCTAAATTCTCAGGCTCAAGGACCAGCTATCCTCACCTATTTGCTCCCAGTCCCTGAGACTCAGTCTCAAAAAACAAGGTAGAAAGGGCCTAATTTAGAACTTACCACGCAAGCCTACAACTAAATCCAAGCCTTGGAAGGAAAGCCACAGCAGAAGGAAAGAACGAATTTCTAAAAGTTGCCCTATGACCCCTTCTTACACACACTGCAGTACATGTGTACACTCACACACCCATGTACACATTAATAATAAACAAAATCAAAGTAAGATGGACACACACACACACTAAGAGTTCTTTGTACTCACCCTTTTATGAAGTTAAATCCATGTGCACAAACCAAAAGGTTTCCATAGGCATCAACTTTCAAAAGATTTCCGTAAAGTGTGTCAAAGACAAGTCCTCTACATGAAAATGAAGAAACAGAAAGTACAAGGTAATACATGTAGCAATCTTATTCACTCAATCACCACACAAGAACTTGTTACGTCCCCAAAACAAAATAACCATGTATGCTAAGTGAGTGAATGCATTTAAAAATAAACCACAGACCTGGAGACACAGCTCAGTTACAGTGCACTTGCTAACTGGCACAGATGGATGGAGGAAGAGAGATTATGTCAGAGCAACTAATAATATTCAGTCCACATCTGTAAGCAGTCACAATTGTTTTATGTTAGGAGAAGGGCTCACCTAAGAAGCACAGACTACCCCTCCTCTGCTATCTTTCTATAATAGTCCTTAAGTTTCTTTGGACATTGGCCTGCTTGGATTTCCCTGTATCCAATGTTGCACATGGGGCAATTGTGATAATATTAGAAACAAATGTCTTTCATAATCTTAACTTTTCCCTATCAAATTCAGAAAAGGTGCCAAAAGGTTCTTCCTACCAAGTTAAATGTATAGCTGCCCTCCAGAAGTCAAGAGGGGCAAAGAGAGCGCCTGTAGTCATCTTCAGCCATAGCAAATCCTTTCTTGCCCATCAGTGGGACTTCAAGAGCACAAGGAACAGAGCAGTATGTGCTCGGGAGTCTGAAGCAGGAGGAGCGAGTTTGAGGCCAGCCTGGGATACACACGGTGCTGAGAGAGAGCAGTTGGGAGGACAGGGAGAGGAAAAGTGGGAAGGGGGAGAGAAATGATGTTGGTGAAAAGAAGGGGAGAGACAGAAGGAGACAGTGTGATGACTGAGGAGACGCATGGAAAGTTCTGGTTATTTTAAAATCAATACTAACATTTGTTTATGCAGGAACAGGGATAAGTTTGGAATTTATAGTTTGGGGCCAAGGGAATCCATATTAACCCAAAATTATCTTGAAATTTTACCTGGTAGGGAATGTAGAATCATATGCAAAACTGAGCAGCTCCTGAGGATAGCCAATGGAAACTAACCTCTCCACGGTAAGCTCGAAGCCAAGGGATTCATATTCTGGAGACTTGTACACTGCACAAAGAAGGGGTTCATGAGTCAGCAGGAAGAGCGGCCATGGAAGGAGAGGCCAACGACTGAGTCTCTGCTCTTCCCCAATTCCTCTTTTCTCTTTCTCCTGCAAACCTTTCCTCTATTATACCCACTAATTAAGGAAATTCAACCATTAGTAGAAACAGGTTCTACCAGAACAGTTACAGCCTGATGTAATTGTTTTTCTTAATCTACTCTTTGACTCTTACAAATTTAGTGCTGGGAAAAAAAAAAAAAAAAAAAAACACCAATTGTATACAGCTATGACATTAACTATAAGGCTGGATAAATAGCAAAATGGGAAAAAGAAGTGTGTGCTTGTTGAAGGTATTACTATAACTGATGTAGTAATATTCAGAATGAGTTTTTCTCTCTTATCTGTATACTTGAATTTTAGCTTTGTCTGGTAGTTGCTCTGTAGTTTAATCAATGTATGTGCTCTGCCTGCCAAATGTTATCAGCCCAAACAACTATTAGGTTTAACACTGCTATAACTTTCAAAACCATATTTGACAAGTATCACTGCAAGCAAACCATAAGAAAACATATCTAAGACAATTAGGAAAATCTAGTTTGTAATCAAGGAACTAGATATTAAATTGTGACTCATCAGATGTCACTCTGGTCACAACAGGTACACAATGCAAGTATGTATGTAAAATATGTGCTTCTCCTAATCTGCTTCAGAAACTACTGTTTATTACAAGTCAACTAACATGGCTTTTGGGCTATGGGATTTTCCTCTACTATGTCTAAAATTTTACACTGCAGCTCAACAATAAAATGTTACTCCTTCAAATATGCTTGAAATATTTAGGTTAGCAACCTTTCTCATCTTTAGAAGCAAATCATATAATAAATGCCAAGAAAAGACTGTTAATTTCCTAAATGCCAACTGAGACAAGATACCCACCCAGTTCTCAGTCATATGAAAACTAGTCTCAATTACTGTTACTATGTTTCATAGCTCGTCCATTTACTACTCACCTGTAGCCCATATTCAAACTGGACCTGCTCTTCATTTGCCTATTTAAACTGGCACTGCTGGGTCTGAAACCAGGACAAGCTGCTGAGATGCCTATTAACAAAGCAGACTCTGGTGGCCAGTCTCTCTAGGTCCCTACCGGTGTCCCCTCCTGTTACAGAGTCCTCCAGGCTGGCAGGCCCCACACCCTACCCCAACTCTCCAGCCCAGGGACTGAGCTGGCCCCTTCCCTAGCCACTATTCTCTATAAAACCCACACATTTTGGTCTCTTGGTCTTCTGGCCTCTTGGCTCCAGGTTCCTCTCCATTTGGATCAGCTGGCCACTCATGGACACTCTGGGCTCTTCCTATGCTCTCCCTTGTATCTATAATAAACCTTCACCTCAATCCTTAGGAGCATTCATGTCCTTTCCTTTCTTTCTTCCTTTTTCTTTTTTCTTTTCTTTTCTTTTCCTCCATTCAGGTACTAAGATTAATGCAGCAACTGAATGGCCAAGACAAGAAAGCCAGCCAACATCCAAATGCCTTCATACCTCTAAAACTCACAGCATAATGGTGTTTCGTCTATTTCTAAAGACCAAGTTTAAAAAAAGTTTTTAAGGCTGGGCTTTCAAAATCGTTTAGTGCACATCGTCAGACTACAAATGCAACAAATCCCTGAGGAGATTGCTGAGCTGCAGCTCATGAGAGCCATGCAAGCAGCCTTGTGTCCCTGCTGCCTCAGAGGGAATAATGGCTGATGCTAACATTAACTCTGGATCTAGAAGGAAAATTCCAACTCAAGGATGTTAACTGCACAAAAACATAGGCAATAGGTAATCCCACGTTACCAAAAGTCAAAGGGGGGACACACACAATACCACCTTCAAAAACAAACAAGAATGGTCATTAATATCCCTCAATATCAATGGTCTTAACTCGCCTATAAAAAGACACAGACTAACAAAAGAGATACAAAGACAGAATCCATCCTTCTGCAAACGAGAAACACACCTCAACTTCAAAGACAGATGGGATGTTACCAGAGTGAAGGGTTGGAAAAAGATTTCCCAATCAAATGGACCGAAGAAACAAGCTGGTGTAGCTATCCTAACAGCTAACAAATTAGACTTCAAACTAAAATGAATCAAGAGAGACGAAGAAGGTCATTTTCACATTTATCATAGAAAAAAATCCATTAAGATGAAGTCTCAATTCTGAACATTATGTCCCAAATACAAAGGCACCCACATTCATAAAAGAAACATTACTAAAACTTAAATCACACATAAAACCCCACACACTTATAGTGGGAGATTTCAACAACCCAATCTCACCACTGGACCAGACTACCAGACAGAAACTTACCAAAGAAACAAAGGAACTAACAGAAGTTATGACCCAATTGGGTTTAACAGACATCTATAGAATATTCCATCCAAACACAAAATATACCTTCTCAGTGCAACATGGAACCTTCTCTAAAATCAACCACATAACTTGGCAACAAAGCAAACCTCAACAGATATGAAAAAAATTAGAGGAACCCCTGTAATTTATTGTAACTTAGTGGTTTAAAGTTAGAGTTCAAACTCATGAAAACTAAACAATGTTCAATTACATCATTCCTGGGTCAAGGAAGAAATAAAAAAAGAAATTAAGGCTTCCTAGAATTCAATGAAAACTAAGTGCCCATGTGAAAAAAGTGGAGAATAACCACACTAGAGACTTAACAGCACACTGAACAAAACAGAAGCAAACTCACCCAGGACAAGATGCCAGGAAATAATCAAACTGAGGGCTGAAATCAATACAGTAGAAACAACGAAAACAAACAAAGATTCAGTGAAACAAAGAGTTGGTTTTTCGAGGAAAAAACAACAAGATAGACAAACCTTTATCCAAACTAACCAAAATGCAGAGAGAGAACATGCAAATTAACAAAATCAGAAATGAAAAGGGGGACATAACAACAGACACTGAGGAAATCATGAGAATCTTCAGGTCATACTTTGAAAACCTGTACTCCACAAAATTCGAAAATTTAAAGGAAATGGACAATTTTCTGGATAGATATCACGTACCAAAATTAAATCAAGAATAGATAAGCAATTTAAATAGACCTATAACCCCTAATGAATTAGAAGTAGTCATCAAAAGTCTCCCAACCAAAAAAACAAAAACAGAAAAAACAAACAAAAACAAACAAACAAACAAACAAAAAAACAGACCCAGATAGTTTCTGTTAGAACTTCAAAGAAGAGCTAATACTCTTCAAATTGTTCCACACAATAAAAGCAGGAGGGTCATTGTCAAACTCTTTTTACAAGGCTACAATTACCTTGGTGCCCAAACCACACAAAGACTAAGAAAGAAAACTACACACCAATAACCCTCATGAACATCAATGCAAAGATACTCAATAAAATACTGGCAAATAAAATCCAAGAACACATCAGAAAAATCATCCATCATGATTCATCCCAGGGATGCAGGGATGTTTCAACATACAAAATCCATCAACATAAGCAAACTAAAAAACATAAACTTAAAAAAGAAAAACCTTATGATTATCTCACTAGATGTTGAAAAAGCCTTTGACAAAATCCAACATCCCTTCACAATAAAGGTCAGAGAGATTAGGGATAACAGGAACATACCTAAACATGATAAAGGCAATATAAAGCAAGCCAACAGCCAACATCAAACTGAATGGAGAGAAACTCAATGCAATTCCTCTAAAATCGGGAACAAGACAAGACTGTCCACTCTCTCCATATCTCTTATATTATACTTGAAGTTCTAGCTAGAACAATAAGACAACAAAAGGAGATCAAGGGGTTATACACTGGAAAGGAAGAAGTCAAACTTTCATTTGCAGATGATATGATAGTTTACATAAGTGAGCCAAAAATTTCTACCAGGGAACTCCTACAGCTGATAAACACCTTCGGCAAAGTGGCAGGATATAAGACTAGCTTAAAAAAAAAAAAAAATTGCCCTACTGTATAGAGACAATAAATGGACTGAGAAAGAAATCAGAGAAACATCACCTTTTACAATAGCCACAAACAACATAAAATATCTTGGGGTAACTCTAACCAAACAGGTGAAAGACCGGTATGACAAGAACTTTGAGACATTAAAAAAAGAAATTAAAAAAGATACCAGAAAAGTGGAAAGATCTCCCATGCTCTTGGATAGGTAGGATCAACACAGTAAAAATGGCAATCTTCCCAAAAGCAATCTATAGATTCAATGCAATCCACATCAAAATCCCAGCACAATTCTTCAAAAGGTCAATACTCAACTTTATATGGAAAAACAAAATATTCAGGATAGCCAAAACAACCCTGTACAATAAAGGAACCGGTATTTATCCTTAGTGCAGGAATGAACTTCCAGAGCCCATTCCCCATGGAGGGATACTCTCTTAGCCTCGACACACAGGGGAGGGCCTAGGCCCAGCCCCAAATGACCTGACAGCCTTTGATGATTCCTCATGGAAGGCCTCAACCTCCCTGGGGAGTGAATGGGGGATAGGATAGGAGGGGGTCGGTGGGGGGTATGGGAGGATAAGAGGGAGAGGGAACCAATTGATATATAAAGTAATATTGTTTCTAATTTAAATAAAATTAAAAACAAAAGCATGAGCTAGAGATGGCTCAGAGGTTAAGAGTTCAATTCCCAGCATGGTGGCTCACAACCATCTGTAATGAGATCTGGTGCCTCTTCTGGCATGCAGGCATACACGCAGACAGAACACTGTATACATAATATATAAATTTTAAAAACAAAACAAAAGCAGCCAGAGGTCTTCTCTCCCATAAAGTCTACTTTACCCTCCGTATGCTATGCCACCTCAAGGCCTTCGATGTATAATCCAAGCCCCAACGCTGCACCTGTGGCGGGAAGTACAGCATGCCCACATGCTTTAACAGCGAGAGTGTGAGCAAGGCCTGGTACTCCTGATTCTGACAGACTTACACTGAGAATGTCTTCCCCCCATGATGGTGGC